ATTTTGCTTTGAAAATATTCCAGGGTAATCGTTTTCATTACTGGAAGAAATATGAAAAACAGATTTACTACATTGTGTCAACACCCAATATTTCCTTATTCTTTTGAAAACGTGAAAGATTACTCTTTCTAAAATAAATTAGAAAATATATTATGTGCAAATAGAATATTCGTTGAAAATGAAATAGACTTCAACCTTTGGATATAACGATGGTTTTAGACGAAATTTCTACCTATGGAAAGAAATTGACGTATAATTAATTCTTCATGAACATTTAAAACTGTTCTCAAAATTCTTTTGATGATTGCATGTATAAGGTCACGAATTTTTTTCTCGCTAACATAAACAAAAGCCAATTTTACAAAGAAAAATTCTCGTTAAAGATATACCTTCTTTGCCTGATAGTCCAATGTAATATTTGTTAAAGTTAAATGATTAAACGCAACCAATGTATCTCGGATTTTGATTTTTATATTATAATAACAAAATTATCGAAAAAAGCAGATTTAAATCTCTGTTATTGTTATGTAAAGCTTTATTATTGCTGTAAGTTCATCTCAAAATCTAATTGTATTGAATCTCATTCTAATCATCTAATGGTAATAAATATTATTATTATTATTTCATTAAATTAGTCATTACCATTATTTTATTAATGAAAATATGTTATTAAAAATTGCATTCCAGCCTGCAGACTTACAAATCTAGTCCGTATTTACTATATTTTGTTAAATTTTGTTCTTGCTTTCTAATTTCCAATACGAAAATACGCGAATATAAATGAAGAGTGAAAACAAAGTTAAAAAATTCACAAATTATTTACGAGATTGATTAGAAATAGTGAGTGAAATATAAACATTGCATCCATTTTGTTCTAAATAAATTGTGCACTGGATATGCATCCAGTACTGCATATTTATTTATGCACTATTTATTTAGAACTTCATTTAAATGAAAGCAAAATAATCATCGAAAAAATTGCAAATCTAGCAACCCCTCTACTATGGGACGTAAGCGTCCGACAAACATGTAAATTTGACTTCATCCATGGAGGGGGACTAACGACTTTTCTCATTAGGAAAATGTCAAAGAGGGGGCAAAACTGTTTCGGATCGCGCCGGTCTGAAGGCTATATTATGAGAATTTCGGCCCGGTTTTAGAAGGTTAAACATAAAACCTTCTTCAACTGTGCAAGTATAAATTACACAGAGAAGCCTGTGCTCAGGCAATAAGAAAATCTGGCTCTATTGTAAAATTGGGTGCTCCTTTGATTAGCGACAAATTTTGCTAAATTTTGGGGTTCTACTCTTATATGCGCCCTAGGATCACCAAATGTGGCGATATGTGTTCTGCACTGGTTTTTGGCACGATTCCATGCTGTGGGATGGTTTAGTAGACGATGTTTGTATGGCAACCCCTTTGACATTAAACTTTGGCAAGATTTCAGTCGCATATTTTAGATTGTGTGAAAAGTAAATTTAGTATTAAAAGGTACGATGTTGGAGTTGTTAAAGAGTCTTTTGTTCACAGGTGTGTTTATGCGGATAGAAGTGCATTTTTTGGAATTTCTGTGGGAGTCAGGACTTTTAAAACGGAGTTTGGCGTGTCCGAAATGCGGAGCTGATATGAGAACTTGGATGAAGAATGGTATTTCTGATAGACTTGTGGCTGTCAGCAGAGTTTAAGATTTGGAATGTGGTTTTCATGTAGTAAGTTAACTTTGGAGGAAGTTTTTATCATTACTTTCGAAATTTTGAATCACAGAAAGACACGTGATATAGCAAAATCGTGCTACTTTTGTTGACAGACATAGTGTGACTGGCGAAATTTTATTCATGTATGTATTATGGTAAGTGGATTTTATGCTATAGTTTTTATTTTGTAGAATGTTATGGTCATTGTTTTTTTACTATGAATTTCTGTTATTTGAATTGTTTGTAATTTATTTTAGCTTATTTTGCTGATGTATGCACAATGCCTAGATTGTGCAATTTGTAGATGTTTTTTTAAATTTAAACAGAAAGCTGTGTACATGATATTCTTTGAAATTTATTGTTGTGTTAATTTATTAAAGTGAGGTTGTGCGTAGTTCGTAGATTCTTTCTTTCGCTGCCTAGGTTGTGCAATTCGCAGATGTTTTTTTAAGTTAAAACATATCGCTGTGTACATAGATTCTTGTAAAATATTTTTGGTTAGAAACTTTACGTTTTTGCTATCTAAATTTTTTGTTTTTGTTTTGGATTTTTAGTTTAAATTGTGTGTTCAAAACGCGGTTTTTGCATGTGCGAAAACCATGTTTTTGGAGACCTTTTAGGCTTAAAGTTCGAAATGTAGACAAAAAATTTAGACAGTAATATGGCACCAAGGAGTTGAGAAATTTGGCGACCTGAGGGCGCACATAACAGTAGTTCCAATTTTGGCGATAAATCCTCATTTCTGGTTACCATGATAGTTTTAACTTTATTTTAGCTTGCTGATTTTTTTCAAATGAAAATAGATTGATGTGTACATGGACAAAGGCAGTGCACAATGCCTAGTTTGTGCAATTTTCTGATGTTTTTTTAAGTGAAAAGATCGATATGTACACAGACACAGAGTTTGTGAATTCTTTGACTTCTTATTTTGGTTTTGTGTAGTGGCCATCTTGAAATTGTGCCTTCTTTCTGCCGATCTTGGCGTCAAAAACGAATCGTCAAAAAACAAGGGGCACCTAATTGTAAACTTTTGCCAAAAGTCCTACTAGTGCCATCCATCGATCTATATCACAGGCTTCTCTTTGATCATTTGTATTTCTGCAGTTGAAGAAGCAGGTTCTACATTTGAGCTTTTGAAACTAGTCTTGCTAATTGGATTATTATGCTGATTCTTGTTGCCTTAGTATCTAAAATATACATCTATATACCAGCATGTTTCAACTTTTAAAAAAAAGTTTTGAAATTTCTAGGGATTGGGATGATTTTTAAAGATGACAGCAAATTCAACACTTCTCTGGCAGATGTCTAATAAACAATATGAAGTGAACCTCAAAGATAAATCTAAGAATTTACAATAATAAAGCATGAAAGTAGCTGTATTTTAGTTTGCAGCTGCATGTGTGCTTCTGAAATATGAACTCTACATATAATCAACTTTTCTCTATGTTCAATTAAGTACACAATACCACAATAACAAACTGACTTTTGGGCATAGGAAATGCACACTGCATTTTTAATGCATATCCTTTTTTTAAAAGGCTATAATTAAAATATACAATATTCATCTAATTCTGAACTAAGCTGAAAATTAAAGCACACTACGAAAATAAAATATATTTGATATTCATCACTTAATGGCAATTTTTGGATTCCTTTGAACTATTTTTTACTCTACATAGTTATAATCAAGTCAAGTTATAAAGCAATCATTTTTAATTTTAAACTTGATTTTTAGCTGTATTATACATTGTACTATACTAAAAATGTATATTCATTATCAACAACCTGCATCTGGTACTAGTGGGATGAGCTTAAGTTATCTATCATGAAGATGGTCCTAATAAATTGATTAAGAATCCTGTGTATCTAAAAATGTATTCACTGTACTCAAACACTAATATTTCTAAATTGATCAGTGTAATTTTTAAAAGAATTCAAAATTTAAAAATCTCCTCAATGCAGTCCATGGGGTGAAAGCAACATAAAATTACAGTACTACTAAAAATAAGAGATTTTACAATTGATAGCAAAATGAGGATATCCTAGAATTTTATCTTTTCTCAATGCTCTTCACTAAAACTGAAATGACAGATACACACAAATATGGAATATATGTCAGAATTATATGTCAAAGATATACAAAATATGGCAGATATTATGCTAGGACCCATGAGATAACTTACTAGCAAAACTGAAAATTCACATATGTGGCATGCATTTTATATCCTTGGCATATACCTGAATTTCAGCTGTTGAAGACATGCATCTCTAATCTAGATTTCATACTATATTTTAATTCATAATTGCGTTTTTTCTTTTTAAAATAACTTTTACACATATATTAAAATTAAAGTAGTTAGCATAAATTGTTTGGGTTAAAGGCATCAATAAAAAGAGTCTTATGCTTTTGCAATCAATACTCACTGCAAGAAGAAATGAAGAATTTGAAACTGATTTTGATTTGACATCTAAATGGAATATAAGTTACAAGTAAAAATATTTATGTAAAACGTATGTTATTACTTACTGCGTGAACTTATATTTTCGCAACAAATTGAAAACAGTATTCCAGCTTATATGCATGTTATGAAGCTTTGTATCAACTTTAGTATATTTCAACATTGCTAGATGCATCGTAATAAGATGCATTAATGGTTTGTATTAATTGTACGTTTACAGATTCAACATAGCATCATACTATAATAATTAATTTTATCAGCCATAACCGCATCGGTATGTAATAATTTAATTCTCAAATTCAGCCTTTAAAAATTTCCATACGAAATAGTCTTACCTTGATATTACAAAAATTCTTTAAACAATAATACTTTGTTGATGAGCTTAGATTTATCATGAATATTATTTATATACTGATTTATAGTTAATCACACAGAAGGTTCGCATTATTTCAGTGTCGCGACGTTTGCAGTTGCGTCAAATTATTTAATGCACATTATCACAGAAATAGGGAATTAGTATAAATGCATTCTTTCACAACAGAAAATGCTATGCACTATTACAAATTGCATTTGCTAATGACATCATATCATGCATCTCATAACAGCCAGTGTAAGGTGAAGACACGTTATCATTTAAATAACACATTATATCCGTATGCACCTAAAATATTGCATTTTTCATCATGATTAGTATATTGCTAATATTTAGATACGCATCTAACTATGAATGATAGTTAGTTTTTTAGTAGATCAGCTGAGTTATACTCATATTGATCAATCAACAATCTCTTAACATTTCGGAACAGCTGTTTTCAGCTTTCTTATAGAGGTTTAAACCGCTACTTACAACTTAGACCAAAAGACGGCGCTTTCTGTTCCTTTTATATTATTATTATTTTTTTGCATTCCCACGGATACCTTGGATATTACGTAATAGATTCTTTCAACATTGAAGTCACATTATTCTCAAGCTTCTGTTTTGCTGTACTAGCTCTATCTTCTTCTTCTTGAAGCTTGGCTTCCCTTTGGCGCCTTATACTTCAACTCAAATATAATGATATTTACATGTTAAACCACAAGTACGCATTCCCTCCACGCCGGTCCGAAGACCAAACCCTTACACTAATAGTACTTATGAATTCTTTAGGATGTATTTGATGACAAATTTGCCTAGGAAATAATATCTCCAAGGTTTCTTATTACAATGATTTAAAAGATCAGCTAAGAGGTCAATATTGCCAATTTTCAACTTCTTTCTGGCACTATCGTACTTTCTGCAGTGAATAACTGCATGTTCTGTGCTGTCAATCATATAACATGAGTCACAAAATGCGAATTCGCTCTACGATACCTGTACAACAGTTGGTTCGTGTCCAACATTTGCAATCTTATTTTACTGATTACTACTTCCATTTTCCTATCAATGTTATGGATTGTGAGTGAAGTTAATCCTTCACTCACAATGAGCATTACAGTAGCTGAATCTGCGGCCAGTGTAAGAAGTCCGCCAGCTGTCGACTTGCTTTTCCTTAATAATATTTTCGACAGTGGCGTAGCAAGCATTACTGGCGCCCGGGGCAAAATAACTTTTTGGCGCCCCCCCCAACACAAAAAAAAACTTTCAGTAATATAATGTATCGAATATATTCGTAATAAGAAAATAATGCAAATAATAATAAAATGCTGAATCTGCCATAAAATACTCAAAAATATATAAAGATTAGTCACTACCTAACTGCACTAGCCTTGGATTAGGAAATGCATCTGTGTCGGCGGAAAAATCTGACCTACGATGATCTAGAATTAGTTAAAAAGGTGTTATTTATTTTACATACATATAATATATATATATATATATATATATTACACACATATATATATATAAGTGTTTTTAAAAAGCACAGTTTTTAAACAATTAGAAGTTTAATATACATTATAGGTAAACAGATATGTGGCAACTTGCCTACTACAACTCAACTCTGCCAGTCTGATAACCCATAGCAACCAAAAACAAAAATAATATTTGTTCCATTCAATTGTTATAATTGTTTAACGATCTGTCTCAAAAAATTGTGCTACCATAATTGGTGACACGTATTTATTACGAATGGCAACCTTCAATGTTGCACAAGTATGGAGTTTATATGTCTAAATTCTGAGCAGCAGTAAGTTATCCAGTGTGATGAGATACAAGTAAGACATTCACCTGTCATTTCAAGCTTTTTGCCGCATTCCGGTGAGTCAACATATTTCTGTCATAATTTCAGCGGATATATCTATCGTCTGCTGCATTTGAGCCTCCAATTTCTCTGATTTCAAGTACCAAGAAACTGTGTCACTATATACATATTGATTATTTTTCTATACATATTATTATTGTGCATATTCTATACATATTATTATTGTGCATATTTGATTGAGCTAAAGTGGTTGACAACGATGCTGCTTCGCAATTGGCGAGAGTGGCAGTTAAGCCACCGCCTTTTTCTCGCGGAGACCCATCGTTATGGTTCATTCAATTGGATGCGCAGTTGATTCACACTACTGCCGACGAAACTCAATTTTATACAGTAATCACTGCGTTAAAATCAGAGGTACTGCAATCAGCTCATGAAATAATTTTGAATCCATCGACGGCGGACAAATACAAATCTTTTAAGAAAAATTAGTTTCTGTTTATGAAGAATCCGAGACAGTTAAAATCGAGCAGCTGTTGCATGATTTACGGTTGGGTGATATGAGGCCTTCTCACTTGCTGTCTAAAATGTCAGATTTAGTTGCCGGTAACCTAATGGATAACATTCTTAAAACATTATGGATGACTAGACTCCCATCTAACATGTAAACCATTTTAGCGGCCAGTAGCGAGCCACTTAAAAATCTTCCCGAAATCGCTGATAAAATTCACGAGATGGCCATTCCAGCGCAAATACACGCAGTGCAGGCTCCTGGTGCAGGTATTGTGGCGTTACAAGCTTATATTGATGATTTGTCCAAACAGGTTGCTCAGTTAGTAGTCATCCAAGCTGAACCTTTCCAGCGCAACCGCTCCGCATCACGTGGTCGAAATACACGCTGTAGCCAACTGAGGAAACGTTATCAAAGCCCTCCTTTGGGTCATAATAGTCATAATACAGGGAAGACCCAATCCTCCTAGTCCCATGGACCATATGATTACGAAAGGTCGACCCCCTCAAAACCACAAAAGGAAAGAAAAGAGAAAAAGAAGCTAATTATCTAAAAATAACTGGAGGTTAATTAACGAACTAAAAATAAGGAAGAGACATACAACAACGAAGCACAACACCAACATTCAAAATCCAAAAACAATGAAAAACCCCACGAGCAAACAGAGTGGCGGAAACTCTCAAGAAATATTCATTCACATGAATTTTCGGAACAGGCACAGGCGGTCCAAAGCCATCGAGGAATTCCCAATTTAAATAACCTGCAGAAGGTCAAACCGAATTCCCTACAGTATTGCTTTAATAGCATATTATTTGTATAATCATAATTCTATTTAAACTATTAATTTATTTTAAAAATTTACTTTAATAGTCCTACTACTATCTGAATTCAAATGTATTAATTATCCTTAATAATCATAGAAAAGAAGCTCCAGGACTGCCAATAACCGAAACTGGAAAATTTAAGATTGCCATGTATCATATTAAAACCCTAGTAATTACTCCATTAAGAACAGAATATAAGAAAAATTTTAAAACTTTAAAATTTCAGAACATTTTAAAATCAAAAACTACAATTAAAAAAATATGAAAATTCCATAAAATTTAAAATTTAAAAATCAAAATCCTAAAACTCAAAACCACTAATTTCGATAATTTAAATCTGATAATCCATCAGGATTCTCAACATTTGCAAGGCCATATCTATGTAACAATCAACTGCATCTCTTCGAAATACCGCATGTACAAAACATCCACAATGCATTAAATAAAACAGTACACAGAAAAATTTCAAAATTTTCGTAGTAAACCTATAAATACTCATAACTGAGAATATAATACATATAATCAAAAGATAAATATACATAATAATAAACAAATATTCCAAATTCAATATTAGAATTGATCAAATCCATTGCACATTTAGAATATGTTTTTACGATTTTCAAGTTCCATGACTTATCTCCCAAACATTTCTTTCTCAAATTTTCCAATAAGGAACAATGATTCAAGAAGTGATCTGCGTTACCAACTTGATGGCAATGACCACACAAGTCTGAATTTTGTAAATTAAATCTCGAGAGGTAGGCGGGAAATCTTCCATGCCCAGTTAAAAACTGGTTTAAATCAATATTACTAATTGGTCGCATACCATTTTGAATTTTAATATACTTCAAAAGACCCACGCACCTCTCTGATTCATTCCATCTAGTAGTATTCCAAATATCATTATAAAAATTTTTCATGTTTCTAATTGCATAACTTCTCAAACCAGAAATTTCTATTTATATTCACAATCATCATTAGTGGTCGCCTCTTTAGCCAGCACGTCGGCCCTTTGATTTCCAACAAAGCCAACATGCGCTTTTATCCAGTGTAAATGAATGCACATATTCTGCATCAAAAATTTCAATAGACATTTAATATCAAATATTAATAAATTAGTAGGACGGGCCGAGGTCAAGGATTGAAGCAAAGACATACAGTCAGTATATATATGAATAGAATTAACACAAGTCAAAATTTTCTTAACCCATTGAAGGGCTTTAACTAAATCACAGCATTCCGATTGAAATACAGAATTATAATTATTAATCTTATATTTTTTATTTTCAATTTCAGTTCCATAATGATAAATCACAAATGCTGCACCCAATTTATCATCTTGCCTGGACCCGTCAGTATAAATATCCAATTCTCCGACTATTGGGGAGTTTACAATCAAATTCAAAAACACATAAATCAGAAGGATGTACCAAAATATTATTAATTCTTTCAAACATATGCCTTGTAATCAAAATATCTTTATACAATTTAAAATCAAGTCTACCAGTTCTGAACAAAAATTTTTCAAAATATAATTTATATAAAATTGAAAGAGGCGGCGTGCCGGCTAGAACGCAGAGCACCTCAGTTGAGACAGTACGGAAACATCTTGTAATCATTAAGCACCAGCTTCTCTGTATCGCATCGAGTTTGTTCCTCAACCTGACCAAATCCCCGGCACTGGATCCCCAGGCACCAATTCCATAGAAAACTCTAGGGATAATTACATTATTCAAAATATCTTTAATGCATGATTTGTTACAAAGTGTCTCACTAGAAAAAGGATCTCCTGTAAAACATTAACATATCATCTGAGAGCCGATGAATTGTTTTAAAATGATCTGCGAAGGTGAACTTGCAATCAATCTTGACTCCCAAATATTTAATAACATCAACAAACTTTATTCTTTTTCCTTGATATCTAAATCGTGGAGCTCTCACTTTGATCCCAGGCCGCGAGAAAATGATTGCAAAAGTTTTTTCTAAGTTGAATTCAAGACCCTCGCCGATTCTCCAGTTTTCCAGTTTTAACATAACATTCTCAAATGATTTCTCGAGTTTTTCCAGTGATGCACCATACATCAGAACAGCAAGATCATCTGCATATGCAATAAAGTTAACATCACTGGGGAATTCCAAAATAAGAAATTTGTTTAATATGATATTTCAGAGCAGGGGAGCACTGCAGGAGCCCTGCGGACAACCAATGAAAATCTCTAGTTCTATCTCTGCAGTCTCATCCTTAAAAGCATTAAACAAGATTTTGCGATTGTTAAAATAACTCCTATAACATTGAATCAAATTCCTTGGCAATTTAAGGTTAATCATGGTTTGTAAAATAGAGTTCCAGCACGCTGAATCGAATGCAGACGAAACATCCAAGGACAGCAGCACTACGTGATGCGAACTCTTATTGCTTCTAATAAAGTCAATAGTATCATATAATGCATCATCTGTAGAACAGCCAGCTGTGAAACCATACTGTCGCCTGAGTATCATTCTACTATTCAGCTAAAACTTCAATCTCTCAACCAAGATTCTTTCATACACTTTTCTAAAAACACTCAAAAGTACAATTGGTCTATATCTGTCATTCTGCTTTGGAATTAAAACAACTCGACCTATTTTCCAATTTCTTGGAAACACATAAAATTTAAAACAGTAATTAAAACGCAATATAAAAATATCCAGATATGTAAGAATTAGAATCTGAACAAATATAGGATTAAAACAGTCCGGACCCGGAGCGCTTCGACGCCTTATTTGTTAAACTGCCCTTCTGATCTCTGCCTCTGTAATTACAGCGTCATCCAATGGGCAATCAGAAAATCTATCCTCATCTAATGAAATATCCTCAGGTACTCCCAA